AAAAACAATTCTATATTAAACACATTAATAAATGAAGCCAAAGCATTGGAGCACTTCAGGAAGTGGTTAGGGAGGCTGTGAGAGTCACAGCCAAGGGATGTGTGGTTAAGACTGAATAAACAAATTGATTTAACTTCTAAATGGCAGAGAATTGGATAGCAAGACTGCAGGATGTGATCTATACATCACAACCACTCCATAAAGTTGTTTGGTGGTTAGAACATCCCTTTAAAATTATTACATAGTACATTAGCATTGTGTGCCAGGGAGTAAATTAATAGCTTATCAATTTAATGAACTTCAATTTCATAACAAGAAGTTCTCAGTCATAATGTTATGCGTCAGATAATTTGGACATAATTAAACTAAACATGTTTTTAACTGGTTTTCCCATGCAGGATCTGAGAGAGCTATTAATAAGGTTTTGAAATGTGGACAAGCAAGTCCCTCTGTTCTGCATTCCACAGACTAACATCCTTCCCACCCTCATTAACACATGTGACAACTTACCTCTTCACCAACAGAGTTCCTATATCCTTCTCCATCATTTGACAACTAGTTAAATGACATGCTGTACTAAAGCTATTCATTGTTGGTATGTACATGACATTTTTAAATAACAAAGGCGCTCGTATTGTTTTATAAATTATTCAAGGATTCTTACACAGGAGTCACCAAGGGAAGTATTCGTATTTGAATATTTAGTGTCTTTCAAGGGAAACAGTCACTTCTGTAGAATTTACATAATTGAATAAAACGTTGAAAATCACCTACCTGTGTTTGGTTTTTTTATGACATTTTCTTAACATATTAAAGGAACATTAAAAAAAAAAAACATATCCAGTACAGCATGCTTAGCACTATAAGATTTAGCATAGAACATCTCATGGAATCTCGTAAGCAGCAAGATCCAGCTTTGACACCTGTAGTGGATGCAGGGAGTGGTGTCTGATGGACCCCAAGACAGAAGTCGAATCGTTTGAAAACAGATGGACTATATATTGTGGTGGGATGCCAGTGCACTTTAGGCAATATAACCACTACATGGTCCAGTAGAGGTTAGGATGTTTGGATTTTGCTATCATCATAATACAGTACAGACAAGATAACCTTTTACTGGCTCACTTTTTAATGCAATCTCTTGAGTTAATTGCATTGTTGCATAACATTCTTCATACGATTACCACTCTACTAGTGCAGAAGTTAAACATACCGAATGTGCCAAAAAAAAAATAATTTAATTTTGGAGATTACTTCTTTAAGCAGGATTTTGGAAAGATCTCCTGCACATATGTACTGAGAAGGAACATTAATAACATTCAGAGCGGATATAAAAAGATACAGCAACAACTGTTCACCTGATGCAGTTAAAAAAAAAAAAATATATATATAATAATTTTTAAATGTTATATGTATAGTTGTTGTACAGGTTAGCTGCCATAAGAATAAAAATATCTATTATGCTACTTTCTGATCTTTCTTTAAAGGGGCTGTGTAACCTATAAAACATGTTTCTTAGTTCTTAAAAGAGATTCTTTAATCACCATTACCATGACGGTAGCAGGCTAAAGGCATGGCCCACTGGTTAGGTGTCAAATCATTTGAAAAGACCTGGCGTGGTAGACAGTCACTAGGGATAGTGTTAACCCTGCAAGGTAATTATTGCAGTTTATCAATAACGGCAATAATTACAATTGTAGGATTAAGGGGACAGTGGCACTGCACCCAGATCTCTTCAAGGAAATAAAGTGGTTTGGGTGCCTATAGTGTCCCTTTAAGCAAATGAAGGAGCCATTGATCCAAGTTATAAAGCAAAGGACGGTTCAGGCACTCGAGGTTCAAATCAGCAGTTTCTGTTGGCAGAGTGTACAGAAGCAATGGGTCTTTGTCAAGCTCTGCCATTGCTCTAAGTTATGGGTTTCTAGCTTTTACATGCTGTGCAATCTTCTAACTGCCATCATTTTACTGTTTGGTGGATCACTATATGTTTACATCGAGACTATTCTACATTTAGAACTTTCTCCACTTTTCTATTAGCAACACCTTAATCCATTTTGAAGCCGATTAGATCACCACTGGTCCTCAACTGAAAAGTTTTGATTACAAACCATGACCTGTCAATCTTAGAATATTCTTGTAATAAAATAATTAATCTGTTACTACACTTGCGTGTCAGGAATTAGACTTGTGCAAAAATTTGTTTCGTCTGGTTCGACTTAATCAAAATGCTTTTCATCCACACCCAAATAACACCAGAAGAAAATAGCTTTGCCCAGGATTTTCCCGTGGAAATCTCATCATTGAGTAACATTCCACAGGTAAACCCCAGGTGAATTGATTCATTCAGGTGGAGAATAAAAGTATATTGATTTGGATGACCCGACTGAAACTCATTTTTGCACAAGTCTATCGGTAATGTAACCGGATAGTAGATCCTAAATACCCTCTGCTAAGTATTAGAAATATATAATCCACATAAGTGGGGGGTAATGTATGCTCGATCTGAGCGGGGCCCTCCAACTCTTGTATCTGTCGACTATTTTGCCATCAAATTACCTGCTACCATTAACCCAAACTATTTAATTGTAAAGTGTTGTGGAATAGTAATAAATATACTGAGATGCGTAGGACACAATGGGCAATAAGGAGCACTCTTTGCGGATTTTATTTTCTGTGTTAATGCCAATAAGAAGATACTCAAACACGACAGATAATACATTAACAGGTTTTTGCTTTACTAGGATTATTTTATGTCAGAAGGATTTTACAATCCGAAAAGGTGTTGAAAAGATTATTTAAGCAAGAACTATTCCACATAAACAAGTCATACAAAAATGTGAATTGGAAAAATTGGTTATAACAATATGAAAAGATTCCTACCCATTTATAGATACCGCTGGTTTCCTAGAGTCCAGCTGACTCCAATTTAATTTTCTGCTTTAATTTTCAGGTGAAATGGTATAAATCGGAGACAATATTTCAACTTGGCTGATAAGGGCTTCATACCTAGGTAGTGGTTAAATTGGAAACAATATATTTTTCACTAAACTGGGTCTATTGGAAACAGACTTGGAAACTTTAAATCTGATTTGAATGCTTAACAAGTCACAGTTTAGATAACAGTCCTGTCAAAGTCATTCACAACAGTCCCTGTAAATTTTGTGAAAATAAGTGAATAAATTTAGATATTTACATCAATGTGATTCAGTTGTTCATTTGGATAAAACTGCACCAAATGTACTCCTCTACAGTGTCTGCTAAAAATTAGAAGAGAAATGGTCTGAATGCCAAACTTTCTTAAATGTATCTATATATAATTATTATAATTAAACTACTGCTTATGTGAATAAGAATAAATAGATGGGATCATACAGATGGGTCACTCCTGGTTAATAAAGGGCATACAAATTGCATTATGAAGTTATGAAAATCAATTGGAAATTACGGAGAACTTCTTGAGCCATCTAAAGCAATTTAAGTTCCGCCCAGGACGATTCACAAACATTCCTAGAAGTAATCCGGATCAGTTTTGTACATTTCGGGCATTATTGACAACTGTCCAGTTTTTGCTTGGACAGTTCCATGTTTTGTGTTGTTACTACACAGATGCATCTGGGCGTTCAAATGCCAGCAGTACACAAAATTACACCCATGCATTTAGAATGCCAATCCTAAACATGAACCTCTGCATGCCAAACGCCAACACTACACACAAATTAGAAAGATGCAAAAGAGGAGAGGGCTGAGCCCTCACCTCCTTTGCATCTTTCTATCTTGTTCTAAAAGGGTCTTGAGGGATTCCCTTTTTTGCTGCCCAAAGTTTGTTATCTAGCGCTGACTCTTCCCCCCCTGTTCTTATCACTACCCACAAATGCCCCTCTTCATGCAAAGTCCAACACTATATATGAATACAGCACTGCATTGAAAAAGCCAATAGTACACATAAATGCATCTCTGCATTGAAAAGCCAACCCTGCACACAAATTCAACAATATGACATATATTCAAAGATAACGTGTAAGTTGCAAAAGAAGCAACAGATTAATAAAAAATGCTTACATATTTAAATTGTGCCATGAATACACTCCTGCATTCAAAAGCCAACACTAAAAACGAATGCACCGCTGCACCCAAATTATGCCAAAAGTACACATGAATACACCCTGGCAATCAAATACCAAACACTACACACAAATACAAAAAATAATGGTTAGGGCACAAATAAAAAAAACAAAAAAAAAAAAAACAACCTGATAGAATAAAATGTGCCAAATATCCTCAGAAAATTCTCTGAATGCATCAGTGGCGCTTTGATAAATTTCACCCAAAGTGTACATTAAAAAAATATTGATTCAAATGTTGGCAATTATGATTTCATATGACAGCTAATCTAATGAACTCTCTCTAACTTTCCCGAATTGCTCAGATTCAGATTCTTCAACTTTGCCTTGGCAAAATCAGAGTTAAGTGGATAATTTTGTCAATTCTAAAATCTACCCCAAAATAGTGGATTTGGAAAAACTTACTAAAAATGTATTTTTGGCGTACATTCTACAACACGGGTGGCTGTTCTGTACTCTTTCCTCATAAACTTTACAATCTCCTTCAACAGTGCCTGCCTGCTCTGCCGTTTTCACAGTTGTTCACTGAAACACTTCTATGCAATTAAATTATGTTTTGATGATTGTGAGAATGCATTGCAGCAATTCTACATGTAAATTAGTCAGTTCAGTTTATATGTTAAAAGGGCCATTAGGCCTTGTGGGATTTGTGGGAGGAGTTATGGTCCCTACTTAAACTCCTAGCCCCTACTCACCTCTGCCGTTCAAGCTGATTGACCTCAGCCACCTACACCCATCTACATATTACATTTCCCCTTTGTGGGCCCTCTTTTTTTTTTTTACAGGCCTACTCGTACGTTGATTTCGGCACACCTCAACCAACTTTGCATCTTCTAAAACATTCAATAACCTATTAGAAATTTTGAGCACATACATACGTGTGTGTGTGTGTGTGTGTGTGTGTGTATGTATGTTATATATATATATATACACATATACATATATATATATATACATACATACATACATACATACACACACACACACACATACACACAATTGTGTGAGATGCCGAGATTGACAGAATTTACTGATCTGGTTTGACCTGCCTTGTATGATTTTAATCCTGCCACAGCCAATTCATGCAGACAGTACATTATGATTCATATTGTTTATTTGGTACTAGCAAGCTATTCACACTACCTTCCTTTTGCCAGCATTCCTATCCAGTTCTCTCCCATCTTCCAGCCAGTCTCTGAGCCTTTGTTAATTCACACGAGAATGCCGAGAGAATAGTTTAATGTTTATTCTGTATTATGTGAATCTCCACTAACCGTGTAGACTTGTCTTGCCTGGGAACGGTTTACTAATTACCCTTAACAGTTGGGAATACATGACTTCAACAATAAAAAAATAAAAAAATTCAAAAAACAAAAACAAAAAAAAAACAACAAACCACCTTTCTGGCAATAAACGAAAACAGTTTTAGATGCGCAGTCAAAAAGGGCTTGCGGACAACGTAATGAGAGACTTGAGTCATGGTCTGCATATGAAAGATCAGGAAATGTGCTTTTAAAATGGGGGGACCAAACCAGGTGTTTTAGAATATTTCCCACAATAAATTTAGAATAAGTTAATATTATATGTTGCGAACAGACGACCCAACAGTAAAATCTGCAGAAATTATAATTGACAAGTAAATATTAAGAAATAAAAATTCCTTTATTCTCTGCGTTTAAATGCTTTACTCTTGCATAGAAAATCCTTCTACTACCACCTTCCACCTCACTTCCCTTATCAATCGTCTGCCCATTCTCTCTGATTTCTTGCCTGCACACACTGCATCTCCCCGTCTTCTGTGCTCCCTCCCGTATATGCAAATTCTCGATTTTAATGATCTAATGTTGGAACAAACTCCTTTATCAAATCCAGGCAGCTGACTCACTTTCAAAAAGGCCATAAAAATCTAAGCAATTCTAAACGGTCTTCTACAACGTCCTAAAGTCTTCTACTTCACCACCATCCCTTCCAGTAGATTAGTCTTTAGTTTAGATTTATCCTGGTGTCATTCCTTCAGTCTTTTGATCAACTCAATTTAAGTTTGCTAACATCCAGTTTTATTCTAACATGATTCCATCTCATTTTATGGTTCTTTATATTATTAGTGGTTTATCTTTTGTTTTCTTTTTATAGTTACTCAATTTTTTTTAATTTTTTTTTTTTTTTATATAACCAATAATAAAGGTACAGAAACTGATAACAATAAAACTGGACTTTGCGCACCACTCCGATTTCATTCCTACCGCAGATAAATTTGAATTAGTTAACTAATCAGAATCTTTGCAGATTTTCCACTTAATGCATTATAAGTGTATTCCACTTCCTTGCTTAGAAACCAGTTTGTGTATATGTTACATTGTTCTTGGTTTATCTTACATTTTAGTTCAATAAATTATTAGAAAGTCACCTAAAATTTATCAGAACACTTCCCGGGCCACACCCCCACGATTAAAAGCATCTCTCTTAGTCCATTTATAATAAAATAAAATTAAAAAAATTGTATATTAAAATACGAAGTGTAACACTAACCCTTTCTGAATATATTTCCATCATTAAAAATTAGAAGTACATAGATGTAGTGTAATCTCTCAAAGAATTGGAAGAAAAACAGATAACACACTCACATGTTGGAGAGCCTCTAGACCAGCTCTCAGTGTGGTTTTCTCAAAGTTGGTCAACCTATAATACATATATTTCGGTTTTGTACAAGTAATTGCTAAACTTGGAGATTAGCTTATTCACTAGGTTTCAAATGGATACTACAAGATGTTATTTGTTGTACATTTGAAGTTACTATTTGCACTCACAATCTATTTTCATGCAGTATTCTATTTTTCTTGTTTACAGCCTACTAAGACAGACTACTTCTGATCACTTGCCATTTGTACCGGCCATATAACTCCAATGTTATATCAAAGTGTCTTCAATGTGATATTAGTGTTCATTCGCTTACCTTACACTATATAATGCCGTGGATACACCTCATTTCAATTCCATTCCATGTATTAACTTGTGCTCTTGCTTGAAAGGTGTATTTAAGTTCACTAGATTCTGTTGCAGTAATCCTTCACGCAAATATTGTGACTCGTATTGCACTCCAAACCATGAAATTTTAGTAATAATGTATTACCCAAACATGTTTCATTAGAATATCAAACATGTGCTTAAATACATTTTACCCTTTTTTGAAGCCATTAATCCTTGTCGATTTCTCTTTCCAATAGGAGCTACTTTTTAGGTATTGCATACTTAAAGGGACACTACAGGCACACAGACCACTTCAGCTCATCACTCTTAACCCTGAGCATGTAATTATTATTAAAAACTGCAATAATTACCTTCTAGAGTTAACTCCTCCTCTACTGGCTGTCTGCCAGATGGCCACTAGAGGGACTTCCGGGACTTTAGATGATTTTTGGTTGCCTAAATGACGATGGATGTCCTCACGCTATGCATGAGCACTTCCAGCTTCACAGTAATCCCCATTGGAAAGCATTGAATAATCCTAATGCAAGCGTCGGCGGAGGAGTGAAGGCGGTTACAAGCCAGCACCAAGGGACATAGGTGTTGGACCCAGGAAAGTGACATAAGGGGTTATTAACCCCTTCAGCACCACTGGGGGTGGGAGGGAGGGGCTTGACCGAGGGGAAGCTATAGTGCCAGGAAAATGAGCATGTTTACAGGCTAACTTCAACCAAAAAACAGTGTTTTAGGAAAACACAGTTAAGCACAGTTATGCCCTCTCTGAGGCTGTTGGCGCAGAGAGGGCAGATCTGAAGAAGTCTATAATATTGGCGAAATGAGTCATCACGCGCTTACATAATTACACATGCCATGGGTAAGTCCTGCCTCCCAGAAGAAATGTAGTAACACCAGGTTCCTAAAGTCGCTTGTAGCCGGCAATATACAAATTGACCAAAGGGAAGTTCTGCTAAATGGACCAGAATATTCAGAGGGTACCTGCCTGTCTGCAATTTTAACTAGTATGTTAAAAAAGATTTAACTTCATCACATCCTCAAGCCTGCATGTGCATATTTATTGGAGCTACTATAGTTGGAGCAGACTTCACCGCTCTCTCCTTGGGCGTGTTTTCCTTATAACCTTTTTTCAAACAATATTACCCTAGGGTGCTTTTTCCTTTTGTATTGAGATCTCTCATTGGGACATTCTTGAAAGCATGTATGGATTACGTTTATGTGAGTAGAGTGCTATATTGATTTGAGCACAAATTGTGGTAGCACTTTAGATTTAGCATAGAATTACACATAATGTGTTTTGGAACAGTGCACTTTATGTTAGGAATTTAAGTGTATATCACATGATGCATCAGAATGTATACACTATTATTTTATATATATGGTTTTCTATATCTATCTTTAGATATTAATGATAATTCTTAGTCTTAAAGACACAGTGCACTTTACGGTTTGTTTTAAGAAAACAAGGTTCTCCTAGTCAAAGTTAAATAAACAAATAAATAGTGATACCACCTACCACTGTTTCAACCAAGAGGACAAGTTCTCCTCTTAGCCTGATTCTCCAACATTGACGTCACTGCCCCTAGCTGCCAGTGGAGGACACAGGGGAAATTGTGCTGCCATTGCAGGTCTGTCGCCAGCATGCTGTGTGCGCTGACATCCAATATGCAAAGAATTAACATTAGCCAGCCCAGAACTCTTGTTTTGGGTTGGCTAATGGTGCCCCAATAACACTGCCAGAGGGAGAATTACAATTCCAGCAGCAAAATGGTAACGTTTTTGACAAAACACTATACATACAATATTCAGGCACCATAACCACTTCAAATCAATGGAGTAAGTCTTTGATACCCACTATTGAAAGACAAGACATTGGTACAGATAACCTAAAGGTATAACTGACAGGGTTATTTCAGATAACAGAAAACATAGCGGACTTAGAGAATTGTTCCAATTTGGCTATTACGCTCTAAAATTTAAAACTCCGCTTTTAATTTCTGACATTACATACACTTCAGTGAATATCCCTGAAAAAAGATTGTCGTTTTAAAACTTACACAGACAATAATTTTACAATCAGATGTAAAAGATTGAGAAGAAAAAGCAGAACATGAAATGATAGGACTGCCATGACAGATTAATTGCACCACATTATTATTATTGGCATTTATATAGTGCCAACTTATTCCGCAGCGTTTTCCAATATTCGCCATTAGAATAAGCCATACTGGTTATGGTGCTGGGGGCATGTCTAAACTACAGGAATGAGAAAGGTCCTGTTATGTGCTATAATATTACACAGCTTTTATAAAATCATAAACTCAGTGAGATGGACTGGCTTCTAATTATTATTATTTTTTTTATTTGTTTTACATATCCATTCAGTTCGCCTACCCACATCAAGCCAAGCCTCTGTTACCAAGTAGAATTTACAGTTGTATGTGGTACAACTTGTATACTTGTATCAGAGAAGACACACAACATTCTGACCTCAATTATTCCATAGCCACTTACAAAATCATGTATATCCCCTGTTATTCGTTTCTGGGAATGTTATTCTTTTTTTCTCACGGACGTCTTGTGTATTCACAACATCCAAATAAATTTTTATTTAAATGATACCAGATGCAACTCCTTGATGTGCCAAAGCTTGATCAGCACCATCTACAGCACTAACTGGAACTGTGGAAGGTTGAAGGCTAAATACATTTTCATTAATATAGTTTATTTTCAACACAAAAATGCGACCAAAATATAAAAAACTACAATGCCCTTCCCTACATATCCCATAAGCGGGGATTATACCGCTGTACGCGATTCACACCAGAGCTGGCCATAGCTCTCCCGAATGTGAGTTCTCTACTTTTGTTATCTACTGCACCTTGAATTTTACATACTGCACCATTGGTCGCCTCTACCTCTCTTGTATTTTCATATACTGAACGGTCCACACCAGATGCACCTACCTCCACCAAGAAACTCTATGCAGTATCCCCGACGATCCACTGGTATTCTAG